CAGGAGATGGCCCAAGTGCTTGGTACCCTGCCACCCACATGGAAGATCCACATGAAACTTTTGACTCCTTGCTTTGGCCTGCTCATCTGGGGAATGAATCAGAGGATGGAAGATAAGGCCTCCTCTTCCCTCTTTCCCTTCCTGCAATTTTTGGAATAAAAAATTAATCTTTAAAAAAACGAAAAGAAAAACCACTGGAACTATCAGGGAGGGTATTGTGTTGCAGGTTAAGCCACCTCTTGGAATGCCCATATCCCATGTGGAGTACAGGTGCAAAAGTGTCAGATTCAGCTCCCTGGTAATGCTCCTGGGAAGGCAGCAAATGACAGCTCAAACACTTGAGTTCCTGTCACCCATGTGAACGACCCAGATGGAGCTTGTGGCTTCGGCCAGTGAGTGAACCATCAAATGGAAGATAATCTCTTTCTCACTCTTTTTCCCTGCATCTCTGTCACTCTGCCACTCTCAAATAAATCTTTCAAAAGAATAGGAATGTTAGCATATTTGTACAAAATCTGAGATGAGATGTGGGTGTCTGGCCTGCTCCTCCTCATGTCCTCTTCTCAGTGCCACACTGTAGGGTCCTAGGAATGAGGACTTTAGCATATGGATTGGGAGGTCGCACAGGAATTTATGACCTACAGACAAATAAAGGCCCCAAGCTGCTGGCAGGTAACCTGGGTGGAGCAGTTGAGATGACAGGCTTGAAGACTGGCAGCTGCCAGCTCAGTCTTTGAGGCGCTTCATTTGTTCTGTCTTTGCTCGGTGCAGAGTCATGGACGCTGCATGTGCTTCTGCGTCCAGCTTGTTTGGTTTTGCTTCGCAGCATCCGAGCTTCCCTGTATAATTTTCTAACTGTGCTGTAAGTATCACTTTGCACACACAGCAGGATAAGTAACTCCCCAGAGTGAGTGCCCCATAGCTTATTTAAGTTCTGCGGTGTATTTAAGATAATTTCACTTTTGGTGCTTCCAGCCTCGGGGCAAGGCAAGATTCCTCAAAGCCGTGTGCTAGAAATAACGGGCCTGGCCTGCCTCCTGGGGGATCCTGCAGCCCCTGGGAGGCTCAGGAGCCAAATGGGGCCTGGATTCCCACTCTGCCTTCCTCCCGCGTGGCCCAGGACTCCACAACCGGCTGTTGTCAAGGAGGCAGGGCAGGTTTCTAAGCAATCTTGTCTTTGTCACAGACACATTCCAGCCTTTCCACAGAGGCTCCTGCCTGTGTGTACAAGCTCCTGGGCCCCCAGGCCCAGCTCTGGGCTCTGCGGAGCTGACAGCAGCTCATCCTGGTCCTTTTTTTTTTTTTCTTTTTTAATATATATTTTGAATTTTGAATTATGTGGTATGATTTCGTATAGGCTGGGATTCCTCCCCAAACTCCCACCCCCTGACAGATTCTCCCCATTTTACTACAATGATGTAGTCCTTCATAAGGAATCATAATTCTATCAGTCTCTTATTTACGTGTACCCCAACACTGTTGGTACAGTGTCACACAGTCCAGCATCCCATTGTCTACACATGTCCAACAGTTTCATTGGGAATCCATCTTTTGTCTAGAAGCAGGGATGCATGTTCCATTATACCCCCACATCTGTATATGATAGACCCCAGTACTCTATCACTATACATTTCCATAATTGAGAAGCCATCCTCGTTCTTATTAAGCCTCTCTTCCCCTCCGTTCACTAACTTCTTCCCAAAGATGGCCAATGTCTTTCCTTCCTCGGTTTCACTTGGTTTCGAGCTTCATTCAACAGAAGCAAAACTGAAGGGGACCAGAAGATCCAGAAGATGTCTCCCTGAAAGAAGCCTCTATGACATAAAGGGGAGGGGGAGAGAGAGAAAGAATAATGTGAAAGGCAGAGTTATTGAGAGAAGAGACCCAGAGGAGAGAGAGAGCTTTCGCCTGCTAGTTCACTCCCTAAGTGGCTAGAACAGCTGAGCCAACCTGGGACCAGAAACCAGGAGTTCCTGATCTCCCATTTGGATGCAGGGGCCAAGGACCTGAGCCATCCTCCACTGCTTTCCCAGGCTACAAGCAGGGAGCTGGATGGAAAGTGGAATAGGCAGCATCCATATGAGATGCTGGTATCGCAGTCAGAGAATTAAATTACTGTGCCACAGCACCAGCCCCAATAAATATTTTTGCACCAAAGACCAGTAATAAGCAGCAAATGGGGGAAGAGCTCTTTGTGTCCGCCCTCCCCAACACTTTCTGCATAGACAGGACATGAATTCTTTGCCAGAGACACCTCTTATCAGCTCCCAAGCAGTGCTGAGGGACTGGTTGGCAGCCTTAGTCTTGCTCTCTGGGTTTACTCCTGATATTACTCTCCCATAGTTCCCCGTCTCTGGAAGCCCGAGCTGACTCCCTTTGTCTTGTCACGTCTCTAAAATTAATTTGGTATGGCTGGAGGTGCTGCATGAGGCAGAGCTTTAAACCATTGCTTTGAGCTAGCTGTCAGGGAGGGCCCCCCTGTGTGATGTTCACTACCCAACTCAACGAACTCGCTTACTAACCTCTCTGGGCTGGGGTCTGTCCTGACTGTCGAGGAGGAGGAGAGCGTCTGGGTCCTCCCCAGCATTGCATCTGTCCTCTTTGGTGTTAGCAGGCTCAACCTTTCAGCAGTTCAGCCTTACATTTGTTAGATTCACCTCGTAGCTGATACATTATGGGAATTTGTCATAGTGGTTCTTTCTGTTCTACCCTGATGGGCTTCTGGACTGTTGCCAGTTTTTAGCTATTATGAATGTTACTGCTGTGAACGTTAAAACTTAAGCCTTTGGGAGAATCCATTTCTTTTTAGTGGGGAGAGGGAGGGTAGCAGAGCAGTTCCATCTACTAGTTCACCCTCCAGTCACCCGCATTGACTAGGGCTGCATTGGGGCCAAAGTTGGGAGCCAGGGATTCAGTCCAGACCCCCACGTGGGTGATGGGGACCCAACCGCTTAGCCACCACCTATGGTCTCTCAAGGTTTGCTAGAGCAGGAAGTTAGAATCAGGAGTGCAGCTGCTGGTGAAGCCTAGGTGCTCTAATACAGGACGTACCTGTCTTAACTGTTAGGCCCACTCCTGGCAGATATCATCCTATTGGGTCTGTCTATCCGATTGGAATTACTGAGTGCTAGGAAGTACATGTATCTGGCTTCAGTACACTTGCCAAACGGTTTTCCAAAGTGACTGTGTTAATCCCACATTAGACGTTATTGGTAAAATGCACATATCAAATTTACCATTTTACCATTTAAATAATCAGCATGAAATATATTCAGAGCTGTACAACCCATATCATCGCCCGTCTTCAGCATTCTTTCATAATCCAAAACTTTGTGCTGCCAAACAGTAATTACCCCTTTCCCTTTCTCTACCCCTGATACCTACTGGTTTTTTTTATTTTCAGCAACTTGAAAGGCAGATAAAAATTTTTCCTCTGCTGGTTTACTCCCCAAATGCCTGCAACAGCCAGGATTTCACATATGGGTGGCAGGGGCCCAAGTATTTCAGCCATCACCAGCTGCCTCCCAGGAGACATTCTGATCCTCTCTGGATTAGAAATTGAGCAAGCAGGACTTGAACCAGTGCTCCGATATGCGATGCCTGCATCCCAAGCTGTGGCTTGCTGCTCCACAACACCTACCATAAGTTACCTATTTTTTTTTTCTCATAAATCTGACTACTCTAGGTTCTTTATATCAGCACAATCTCAGTATTTTCCCTTTAGTGACTGATTTGCTTCACTTAGCACAGTGATTTAAAGGTTCATCCATGTCAGAATATTTTCCCTTCAAAAGATTGGAAAATATCCCCCGTGTGTATGTGTCACATTGAGTTTATCCCAGGTTCCAGCTTCTCCGCACCCTGGCCAAGCCTTGTTACTTTCCTTTAACTAACAGCCTTCCTAGTGGGTATGAAGTGTTAGCTCTTTGTGATTTTGCTTCTGAGTTCCCTAAAGATCAGTGGTGTTGCAAATTTCTTAGAAGATTGATTTCTTTGAAAGGTAGAGTTATACAGAGGAAGAGAGAGAGAAGTGCATCTTCCATCGCTGGATCACTCCTCAAATGACTGCAGTGGCCAGGAGCTTGAACTCCATCCAGCTTGTCCACTTGGGTGACAGACACCCAAGCACTTGATCTTCCAGGCACATTAGCAGGTAGCTGGATGCAAAGTGGAGCAGCCAGGACTTGAACCCACATCATGATGCTGGCCCCGCAGATGAGTCATGTTCATGTTGGCCATTGTAGACCTTTGAATAAAGTTTTAAAAATGAGCCTCGGCTAAAGTTTAAAAAAATGAGCCTCGGTTGTTTTCCTGTCATATTTTAAGAAAGTATTTTAACCAAAATAAGAGTAATCTGCAGCTAAAGGACAGCCTTCTGAACAAGGCCAGCTTAGAGAGTCCCAACTAACACCTATGTGGCTGGGGACAGTCCTCCCGAGGCCCTTGGTGTACTGCAGTCTGATGACCTCGTGAGCCCTGGGCCAGAGCCTGGTGCTCTCAGAGCCCAGGGCCTGGCCCTTATAGGTCCCCCAGGTTCAGGCTTTGGCCACAAAGGAGGGCGGTAGGGAAACAGGTGGTCACTGCACTCTCACATGTGTTTTGGAACCTGAAAAGCACGTGATGCCCACGTGGTATGGAGTATTAGACACTTAACCTAACAGCTCCCCCACCCCCCTGTCTCTAGCCTGCTGAGCAGGAGTTACTGACTCAGGGTAATTGTGGAAAGGGTAGCCAAGGAGCGGAACCAAGAGAAAACCTGATGAACAGAAACAAGCAGAGCTTGTCCAGAGGATCTGTGTGGACACCAGTGTGCCAGTACGGCCTTCAGAAAACCACCTGCTTCCAGCTGGGATTTTGAGTCAGCCCTGTGTCCCTTGTGGCCACCCCTTGGTCACAATGCCCGATCCAAGCAGGACATTGATGTCAGGTCTTGCTTTCCCTGTGGTAGCTTCCAGAAACCCCTCCTTCCTAATACTGTGTTTCTCTTTCCCCCATAGTAGGTGTTGCAGGCTGCCCTGGGCAGGAGTTAGCCCCACTCAGCACTGGAAACAACTTCACTGGGAAGAATGGTGGCACAATTCAGGTAAAGCATCATGTCCATCTGTGAGACAAAAGATATCCTTTCTCTCCCAGGCATGCCTGGCAACCACTGGATAGTAGTAGTTTGTTGCATGGAGCCCAGGCCATGGAGCCTTTTGGAGGAAGAGGTAGTGCTAGTTGCTACTGTAGTGCAGTAGGGGCGCCAGAGAGTCAGGCCAGCGGGCAGAGAGCTATCTTGACAGAATCTGGAATCCTGACCCTGGGATCCCATCTCTCCCTGTCTCTTCCCTCCTTCTCCCGCATCTTGCACACTGGCTCTCACCAATCCCACCAGTCTCTAGGAAGATGAACCTAAGGCCCTTGCTCACAATTCTGTGCTTTTTTTTTTTTCCACTTAATTTTTGAATAGCAAATTTAGTCATATGGATCAGAAATAACAATGTTAACAAAGTTATGCGATAAGGGACTGGTGTTTAGGCAGGGTAGGTTGACTTGCCACCTGCGACACTGGCATCCCATACAAACACCTGTTTGAATCCTGGTTGTTTCGCTTCCCATCATCTCCGTGCTGATGCACCTGGAAAGACAGCAGAAGGTGACCTGGGTACTTGAGCCCCTCCAATCCACATGGGAGACCAGAATGGAGTTCCTGGATCCTGGTTTCAGCTTGCCCAGTCCCTGCCATTATGGTTATTTGGGGAGTGAACCAGCAGATGGAAGATAGTTTGCTCTCTCCCCTTCTCTAACTCTACCTTTCGTATAAATTAATTTTTTAAAAGTTATGCAACAAAACATTTCCCATTATCTTTGTCTCCCTAGGGTTCTCTCCATCCCTCCAAGAGAAGACACTTAACCATGTTGGCCAGTATTTTTTCTTCTAGAGTATATGAGTGTGTGTGTATGTTTTTCTTCATATGTTTTGTGTACACATATGTATGAAAATACTCTTCTTTCCTCCTTTATGTAAAAACTAACATACTGTTCTCAAGTCCACGCTTTGGTTTCCTGTTATTAGAGAATGAAGAATGATGGGCAAGCAAGTGTACTCCCCAAACGCCAACAGTGGTTGGGGGTACTGTGAACCCAGGCTGAACCTGGTCTCCCACATGGGTGGCCCAACTTGTGCCCCCACATTCTGAGATCTGCAGAGTATTCCACTGGAACAGTGTGCTGGCGGGGGTGGGGCATCTGTTGGTCCCCTGTATTGTGGACATGGAGATTATTTCGTTGTGCAGCAGCCCCAAGAGGCCTCTGTCCTCACCCTCATCTCTGTGAGTGACGGGAGGCTGTCTTTTCTCTTTGCAGGAAAGGAAGGCCTCGAAGCTCTCAGCATCCAAGCGCATCTTAAAAAGACGCAAGAGAGAGTGGGTGGTCCCGCCCATCTCTGTCTCTGAGAACGGCAAGGGTCCTTACCCCCAGAGGCTGAATCAGGTACCACTGCATCTCCTCTGAGTGTCGCTGGAGGCCAGGGTGTGGTATCTTGTTGCAAAGGCTTCTTCCCTCTAACTCTCTGCCTTCTTGGAGATGTGGTTGTTGCCTCCTCAGCTGCCATTTCATTTTGCTTTCAGCTCAAGTCTAATAAGGACAGAGGTACCCGGATTTTCTACAGCATCACAGGACCTGGGGCAGACAGCCCCCCTGAAGGCGTCTTCACCATAGAGAAGGAGACGGGCTGGCTGCTGCTGAACAAGCCCCTGGACCGCGAGAAGGTTGCCAAGTACGAGGCAAGTGGCCTTCGGCTTTTATCATTAAGCATCCCGTCCGGCCCAGCGGGGAGGGAAGGTGGCCATTGGCTCACCATACACCTCCCATACCCACAGCTCTTTGGCCATGCTGTGTCAGAGAATGGAGCCTCAGTGGAGGAGCCCATGAACATCTCCATCATTGTGACCGACCAGAATGACCACAAGCCCAAGTTCACTCTGGACGTCTTCCGAGGGAGTGTCTTGGAGGGTGTTTTGCCTGGTAAGAGGGCTGGGAGTACCTGCTTATGAGTTTTTTGGGCCTAGACCTACTTTTAGTCAACTTCTGGAATCATCTGGCAGTCAGCCCAGACTTTTTTTTTTTTTTGAAAGGTGAAGTCACAGAGAAGGAGAGACCAAAGAATATTATATATCCACTGGTTCACTCCTCAAATGGCCACAATGGCTGGAGCTAGACCAACCAGGAGTCCAGAGCTTCCTTCAGGTCTCCCATGTGGGTACAAGGTTCCAAGCAGTTGATCCATCCCCTGCTGCTTTCCCAAGTGCACCAGCAGAGAGCTGGATGAAAAATAGAGCAGCCAAGACTCAAACTAGCTCCCATATAATTTGCAGGTGTTGCAGGCAGACACTAAATATACTGTGTCACAACACAGCCAGCAACCAGACTTAAATTCCCACTTCACCTGGCCTCCTCATCTGTGCAGCTTATTATCTGGAATACTTTAAAAAAAGTTAACTTCCTCCACTTCATGCCAAGATTCCTGAAGAAGAGTGATTTGGGGACAGAACTCTGGAACCTGTGTATTTGAAAAGTTTCCAAAAGCTTCAGGTGGTCAGCCATGTCTGGGAACCACTGTCTTTAGAGCTGCAAAGACCTGAATTTGATTGTTGATTTTGTCTCTACTGGCTGTGACTCTGGGCAGACTTTTGACATTTGAGCTTCAGCCCTCACATCTAAAAATGGGTTTAATATCTGCATGGAAGAATTGTGTGGACCAGCATTTGGTCCATCTCCCATTGGAGTGCCTGGGTTCAAGTCTCTACTCTGCTTGTTATCCAGTTTCCTGCTGTGTGTGCACCCTAGAAGGCAGCAGGAGCTAAGGACTTGGGTCCCAACATGGGTGACCTAAGTGGAGTTACACACTCTGGGTTTTGGCCCGGCCTCAGCTGCTGGGAACATTTGAAGAGTGAACCAGCAGATATAAGATCTCTGTCTCTATTTTTATATCCCTTTGTCTTTCAAATACATAAAAAGAGTTGTGAAGATCAGAGATACCATGTGCATGGTCTGTTGTACCTCAAAGCATCTGACATCATCTTGTATGAATGAGACAGCTATGAGAAAAGCTGCGGAGGTGTGTGTGTGTGTGTGTGTGTGTGTGTGTGTGTGTGTGTGTGTGTGATAGAGAGAGCGCATGCGCTTGGTTATGGGAGAGCAAACATACAGGGGCCCACAGAAATCCAGGGAAGTGGGGTTATATTAATGACCTCAAAGACAAGTGCTGGAGAAAGAGGGAGGATTCTTCTCTTCCCTGCTGGAGTTGTGGAGAATTACAGAGGGATGTGAGCTGATCCACTGCCCCTAACAGAAGTGCCCACAATGAATACCACTCAAATGAGGTGAAGCCTTTTCCCTGCTCTTCCTTGTGATTCAGGATGTGTGAAGGTCGCCATTCTGGCTGGGACCAAGATGGGATGGGACTTCACAGTGGGGGCGATCTGGATGCCTTCTGTCTTGTGGCCCTGCTGTCCTGTGTCAGCCGGGTTGCCTCTGCAGGGAGGGAAGCAGTGGGAGGGAGGGAGCAGCCCCTACTTGTGATCGTAGTTTCCTCACAGTTATGTGCCTGTCTGTTCACCAAAATTGGTTCTTAGGGCCAGAGCACTCTGCAGGGGGCCTACAAGGACACTTTGTTTCTAAGAAGGGGGAGGCTGTGAATATATGCTAGCTGTAGTCCCCATCACATGCTGGCAGGCAGGTCCAGTCGCTGATCAGGGCCAAGGAGTTGCCACAGGTAGGTCAGGCTGAGGCTGAAGCTGGGGGAGAGAGGCGCCCACTTGTCCTTCTCCTCCCCAGGTACTTCTGTAATGCAGGTGACAGCCACCGACGAGGACGATGCCATCAACACCTACAATGGGGTGGTCGCATACTCCATTCACAGCCAAGAGCCCAAGGAACCTCACGACCTCATGTTCACTGTCCACCGCAGCACAGGCACCATCAGTGTCATCTCCAGCGGCCTGGACCGAGAGGTAAGGGCCCAGGCTGGGAGAGGGTAACTCCAGCAACTGGGGACAGTGGCTGCAACATTCCCAGGCCCACAGCCTACCGCTCCAGAAGGCAGGTGGCCTGCTGCCAGCAATCTCATTAGCTCTCCTCCTAGGCCAAGCAAGCAGCTGAAAAAAATGCAGACTTTTGATATTTTGTGGAGGTTTTCTCATTTCCTGTTAGCATGGCTCACTTCATGTGCATATCGCCCAGATTTGTCCCTTGAGTGCCACAAAGCAGAATTGACTGCGTAGATACTGGAGTCTCCTCCTGTTTCCTAATGAATATGTTTGCTAATAGACTGCTCACAGCTCCCACGCCAAAGCAGCCGAGGAGGGAGGGGCTAGGCCCTGGCTATCTCAGAAGCACTAATTGACCCTGCAGGTCACCCCTGTCCTCCAACTTCTATTCCACTTTCTTCTGCAGAGGGTGAGGGGGTGAGTCGGGGTCAGGGAGGCATCCCCAAGGCTGTGCCTCGTCAAGCCTGAAGTCACCGTGTATCTGTCACCTGTGCTCTTTCTCCCTTAGAAAGTCCCCGAGTACACACTGACCATCCAGGCCACGGACATGGACGGGGACGGCTCCACCACCACAGCAGTGGCTATAGTGGAGATTCTCGATGCCAACGACAATGCCCCTGTGTTCGACCCCCAGAAGGTAAAGCTTTAGCCCCCTGCCCTTGGGCAGCCCATCTCGCCTCTCTGTGTCTTGTGTCTGTGAACCAGCGGTGCTCATCATGCCCCACTGTGCTGCCCTGGGTTTTAGATGAAGTCCTCTCAGGCCCAGCTGTTAAGGTGGTGCCTGAGAAATAAGGGTTGGAGATGAAAATCTTTATGAATCTGAAAGCTCTGCCGTTGACCAGGTCCTGTGCCTACCTAACTGATCCCTCCCTTCTATCTTTAAATAGCTTGGGTTGCTGAGTATTATCAAATCCCAAGGAAAAGTTTGTTCTCAGGGTAGATGTCTGACCTAGTAGTTCAGAGGCCAACATCCCACGTCGGAGCCCAGGTCAGGTCCCGCTCAGTCCCAAATTCCAGCGTCCTGCCAGTTCAAACCCTAAAAGGTGATGGCTCAAGTAGTTGGGTCCTTGTCACCCATATGAGATGCCTGGATTGAGTTCTTGGGCTCCTGGCTTCCATGTGACCCCGCCTTTGCTCTCTACCTCTAGGGGGAAAAAAAAAAGAAAAAACAGGATAAAAACTGATTCTGAGCAAAGCTGGTTTCTCAGTCTCTGCTAGTTGTCACAAAACCTCCCCAAAATTTTCTAGTCAGTGCCCCATTGCTGTCAGCCCCGCTACCCCTCTCCGCACCTGCCCTTCTTGACTCCTTGAGTGGCTGCACTTGCCTGGGGCTTGGGAGCCCAGACCAGTAAGTTTTCTGGGGATGGGAGAGCAGACCCCAGATGGGCATCTTCACAGCTGTGTTGCTGATACCTGGAACACTGTGGCAACTACTACAGAGATTGGTGGTCCAGGAAATGGCAGAGGGCACGGGGCCATCCCGAAGTCAAGCAGAGGACTCTCAAGCCTGGCAGGGAGTGGGGCAGTCTCTCGGACTGCCAGCCACTCTCACTGTGCTGTGCTTTCCACACTGACAGTACGAGGCCCGGGTGCCGGAGAACGCCGTGGGTCACGAGGTACAGAGGCTCACAGTGACTGATCTGGATGTACCCAACTCAACGGCCTGGCGCGCTGCCTACCGCATCGTGGGAGGTGATGATGGGGGCCATTTCACCATCACCACCCGTCCTGAGAGCAACCAGGGCATCTTGACAACCAGGAAGGTGAGTCCACCCAGCCACCGTGGGAGCATTCAGTTTTTCAGTCTCCAGGTTGAGGGGCACCACCATCTGCCTACAGCCACTCAGCCTGGTGCATTCATCCAAGGCTGCACCAGGCGGCCTTCGGGAATCCTTTTGTTCCTGTTCAGTTTTGCTGGGCGCCCAGTCCCTGAAAAAGCTTAGACTTGCTCTTGTAACTGAGGAGTTCGGTGGTGCCACCCTCCTCCCAGACCCTGGTGTCCAGGGCTGCCCCCAAGGGGGCCTTGCCAGGGGGTTCCCAGTTTTATTAGAATCTGTTCCAATTATATATTTACTCCCAAATGCCTGTGTAAGTGTCCAGATAGTAAAGTTTTCCAAGTTTTGGAAGTGTTGGACATATCATGGGCGTTTGTTTCAACTTTGGTGAATTTTCATTCCTACTGGGGTATAAGACATGGTTTGGGTCTTTGGATATGGGCTTTACACAATGGCTCGTTGGCTAATTCTCAACCTTGCATGTGCCAGAATACCGTACGGCTACTGGTTCATGTCCCAGCTGCTCCACATTCCCATCCAGTTCCCTGCTTATAGCCTGGGAAAGCAATAAAGGATGGCCCAGGGCCTTTACACCTTGCACCTGCGTGGAAGACTGAAAGATGCTCCTGGCTCCTGGCTTTGGATCAGCTCAGTTCCAATTGTTGAGGCCACATGAGTAGTGAGCCAGTGGTTGGAGGATCTTTCTCTCTGTAAATTTGCCTTTCCAATAAAGATAAATAAATCTTTAACAAAAAATAACCAGTTTTATAAAATCATTGAATAAAGCAGTGCTTTAAGAAGATAGGTCTCAAAAAAATTGGGTGGGAGAGGGGTGGGAAAATTCCAAACCCTATGGAATTGTACCATAAAACTCAAAATTTTAAAAAATACGCTAGTAAAAAAAAAAAATCTCAGGGCAAACATTGTTGCTGTCACTTTCAGCATTGGCATCCCATATAGGACACAGCATGAGTTTGAGTGCCACCTTTAAAAGAAAAAAAAATGATTTATTTTTATTGGAAAGGCAGATTTACAGAGAGAAGGAGAAAGATATTTCATCCACTGATTCATTCCCCACATTCACATATCAGCCAGAACTGAGCCTAGAACCAGGAGCTTCTTCCAGGTCTCCCACCTGTGTGCAGGGTCCCAAGCAGTCGGACCATCCTCTGCTGCTTTCCCAGCATATGATCATGGAGCTGAGTGAAAATGGAGCAGCCAGGACTTAAATGGGATATTGTGCTATAGGCGGCTGTCTAACTCAGTGTGCCACAGCACCAGCCACAAAAAGCAGTGTTTTATTTAATAATTTACAGCCTGTTTTAGATTCTCTGTCTCTTGTTTTATAGCCAATGCTCTGTTTATGTTGTGCAATGAAATTTATTTATTCTATAACTTAATCTAACTCACAACTTCTGGAAAAACAGAATATCCAACTATGAATAAAAAGAGAAATTTTACAGGAAAGTTACAAATATTTTATATTTCTATCTGTTAACTTCAGGGTAGGGATACCCCAAAAATCCTAACAACGAGATCGGTTATTCACATCTGTTTATGGAAGCATCCAGATGCAGAGGATACCACATGTTGCCCTGACAACATGGCACAAGTGTATTGATGTCTTTCAGAACAACAAAAAGCTCTCGAGAAAGTCCTGAACAAAGAAAATATGAGTCCCCGTCAGAAGCTGCATTCCTAGAAAATCCAATGCATATTAACCACACCCGTAACTTTGGTTTATGTATAAAACATGTTCTAAACTAATGGTAAACATGTTTCTCACACCCGTGGATGTATAAGTAACCAAGGGCATCCTGAAAAGCTACATGGGCTGTGAAGTGCCTCCTGTATCTCCATAACATTGCAGGACATGACACCCTTAACCTCAGCCTGTAAATGTCAGGGCCATCCCAAGTTCTGTGTTTCTAGAACTCCCCAAAGGAGAGTCGGCACCCGACTGGGAAGCGATCTCTGAGGCCTTGCTAAGCCAGCTGCCTCTGGGGTGTCAGAGAGGCCCTGTGGTTGTCCACACCAAGGACCAGGGAGGCTCTGGAGTAGGATTGTTGCTGTGGGGGCCCTTGAACTCCTCATGGCAGGCCTGCTCCTCCTCACACCCTCGGGGCCTCCTCACACACTGGTGCTTCAGCCCATTTCCTCCCTCTCGCCTCCTAGGGCTTGGATTTCGAGGCCAAAACCCAGCATACCTTGTACGTGGAAGTGACCAACGAGGTGCCCTTTGTGGTGAAGCTTCCAACTGCCACGGCCACTGTGGTGGTCCACGTAGAGGACGTGAACGAGGCCCCCGTGTTTGTCCCACCTTCCAAAGTAGTTGATGTCCAGGAGGGCATCTCTGTCGGGGAGACAGTGTGTGTCTACACTGCACGGGACCCTGACACAAAGAACCAGAGGATCAGGTACTGGGGCCTGGGCTTTGCCAACCCAGTGCGCAGCTGCAGTGGGCTGGGTAGTTTCAAGTACTGCCAAGGCTGATTCGGGTTTTGAACATCACCCCTGTATGTGCCCTCTCCTTCCTGGAACCAGAGACTCAGTAGGAGCCTGGAGAGCAAGGGTTTCTTTCTCCCCCAGCCCCTGCTGGGCTCCCCATTTGCTGCCCAAGTCATTTTTTTGCCAGATGGCATGAGGACTTTTTTTTTAATTGAAAGGCAGAGGGCCCAGCGCGATAGCATAGTGGTTAAAATCCTGGCCTTGAATGTGCTGGGATCCCATATAGGCGCCGGTTCTAATCCTGGCGGCCCCACTTCCCATCCAGCTCCCTGCTTGTGACCTGGAAAAGCAGTCAAGGACAGCCCAAATCTTTGGGACCCTGCATCCATTTGGGAGACTCGGAAGAGGCTCCTGGCTTTGGATCAGTGCAGTACCAGCCGTTGTGGTCACTTGGGGAGTGAATCATCGGACAAAAGATCTTTCTCTCTGTCTCTTCTCCTCTCTGTATATCTGCCTTTCCAATAAAAATAAATCTTAAAAAAAAAAAAACATAATTGAAAGGCGAAATGGTAGTGAGAGGCAGAAATAGCAATCTTCCATCTACTGATTCACTCCCCAAATGGCCCAAGCCAAGAACCAGGGGCTTCTTCCAGGTCTCCCATATGGGTAGTTTGACCCAAGGCTTTGAGCCATCCTCTGCTGCATTCCCAGGCATATTATTGGGAAGTTGGGTAGGAAGTAGGGCAGCCAAGACTCAAACCATTGCTAATGTGGGATTCTGGCACCATAGTTAAAGCTTAGCCCACTATGCCATGGTGCTGGCCCATAAGGATGCTTTGAATAATGACAACAGAACTGTGACTGTGGTTCTGACTGGTTCCTCTTGGCTTCTGCTGTCTAGCTACCACATCCTGAGTGACCCAGCAGGGTGGCTAACAGTGGACCCGGACAGTGGGCAGGTCACAGCCGCCGGCATCTTAGACCGTGAGGACGAGCGGTTCGTGAGGAACAATGTCTATGAAGTCATGGTCTTGGCCACAGACAATGGTGAGAGCTTTCTTCCAGCCCTTCCTGCACAGGGTGTTTTTGGTTCTCAGGTCACTGGCACAGGCTATTCCCTGTGTAGCAGGGGGCATGTGGGGTCAGGGAGGGCATCAACTAGCCATTCAGGACAGCTGCAAAGGGCTCCAAGAACTGGTCCTAGGGTACCTGAGCGGGAGTTCAGTTTCCTGAAAACCTGAGTTAGGAGACCACCTGAAGTAACTCACTTCAGCTTAGGCTCTAGGTTCACTGAGCCCTGAGCTCATCACTGTCCCCTTGTGATTGATTGGTAGGAGCTGCCTGGAAAGCACTGTGGCAGATAATGTCACACCCTCATAAATGGGGGAGTTCCCCTATAGTCATCTCCACCTGACACATAGAATCCCAAGTCTGGATGTTGGGGAGAGGTTACAGCAGAGCCAGAGAGAGAAACTTCCCTGAGCAGATAATCCAACCTGTAATGGTTATGAAGTGTTCAGAAGGTTCCACTTTGCAATAGATTGGAGTGGTTGTCTGGAAGAAGTGGCTTAGCAGTGCTATGATCAGCTAGTAGTGCCTGCTATGGGCACAAATTAGAATGATGGCATGCCATCACTGCCTTGATCTACAGTGAAGCCAAGGCATAGAACTGCCGTATATTACAGCTGGGATAATCAGGGCCCAGGGGAACCTGAAATTGATTCATCCACCAAAGAGAACAAATGCTAAAAAATAATCATGTGTGTGATCTAACAGGGAGTCCTCCCACCACCGGCACTGGGACCCTCCTGCTAACACTCAGCGACGTCAACGACCATGGCCCCATCCCTGAGCCCCGTAAGATCACCATCTGCAATCAAAGCCCAGTGCCCCAAGTACTGAACATCACGGACAAGGACTTGTCTCCCAACTCGTCCCCTTTCCAGGCCCGGCTCACCCATGACTCAGACATCTACTGGACGGCAGAAGTCCATGAGAAAGGTAACTGAGTGGTGGGCGCCGGTGGGTGCTGGCTGGCTGTGGGTCTGCCCCAACCAGGACCCCATGCATAACAGCCACCTGAATAGCCAGAAGCTCTTCACTAGGCCAGCATCAACTTCGGGGGGTCGGCAGAAGACTCTGATATGGACCACCTATCCTCAGGTGGACAAGCCAAGATCCAGAGATGAAGGGTGTGTCCTGCCCAGTGTCACATAACACAAGTCACGCCACCAGCCTCACAGCCACCAACCCTGTCTCCCATGTGCCAGATTCCGCCTCCTGGGTGCCTCACTGCCCGCTCCCAGCAGCTCACTGGGGAAGACGCACCCTCAGTGACAGAGAGGGAAACAGAGCTTAGAGTAGCCTAAACATTTTGCCAGAGGTATGGCTAAAAAATCATGTCACCAGAATCTTACTATTATTGTTACTATTATTTTTAATGTACCGATTTGGGGTTGGCAGTGCAGCAGAGTAAGGAAAGGCTCCACCTGTGACACCAGCATTCCCATATATGCGCAGGTTCATGTCCCAGCTGCTCTGCTTCTGATCCAGCTTCCTGATAATAACCTAAGGAAGATCAACGGAAGGTGGTCCAAGTGCCTGGGACCCTGTTATCCACATGGGAGACTTGAATGGAGCTCCTGGATTTGGCCTGACCCCACTGCTGGCTGTTGTGGCCATCTGGGGAGTGAACCAGTGGATGGAAGATTTCTCTGTTTCTCTCAGTCACTGACTTTGAAGATAGATAAATAAATCTTCAAAGTTACTATTAAACATATATACACATATATATATGAATGAAGATTTGTTATTTGAAAGAATAACTAAGAGAGCGAGACTTTCCACCTGCTGGTTCACTCCCCATATGCCACATCAGGCAGGAGCCAGGGCCCAGAGCACCCTGCGATTATGCTGATGTCTACTGCTTGTTTTTTTGTTGTTGTTGTTGTTTTTGTTGTTGTTGTTTTTGTTGTTGGTGTTTTTTAGCATTTATTTTTATTGTAAAGTCAGATCTACAGAGAGAAAGAGAGACAAAGATCCTCCGTCGTCCACTGGTCCATTCCCCAGGTGGCCGTAACAGCCAGAGCTGATCTGATCTGAAGCTGGGAGCTTCTTCTGGGTCACCCACACGGGTGCAGGGTCCCAAGGCTTGGGCCATCCTTCACTGCTTTCCCAGGCTACAAGCAGGAGCTGGGTAGGAAGTGGGGTTGCCTGGATCAGAATAAGTGCCCATATGGGATCCCAGCACATTCAAGGCAAGGATTTTAGCCACTAAGCGACCACGCCAGGCCCTGCTGCTTAGTTTTAATGCCATTTTCTACTAGCCCTTGTCTTTCTTAACCCATACTTTACTTCTACAACCTCAGCCTATTTGACCTGAGGTCTCAGTTTGTGCTTTTGTGAAAAAAGATGAATAACAACAGTACCTGCCTCTTGCAGTGAGGAGGGAGGGTGGTATCACAGGTAGGTGTGTATCCCCAGCAGAAACAGAAATCCACCCTGGGGCACAGCAGGGGTGGAGGGTTGGAGGATGTGCCTTGGCTTCTACTCACTGTAGCCCAGAGCTCTTCCCCCTTCCGCCTCTAACCCCACCCCCAACTTTTGTAGCAAGAGAAACCCAATAGACAACTGTCTTGGGTCAGTGGCTACATAAACAAGCAAGCCTAGTGCGGGGGTGGAGTAGAGGGGTTGTGAGGTGAGAGTATAGAGGATACCCCTGGATTTAGTTATAGGGACCTGAGGTATTGGAGGAGTCCTGCATTATGAAGAAAGCCCACCCCCACCAAATTCACAGCTCCCTTCTTGAGAAAGCAAAGAAAATTAAAGGGCTTTCTTCCCAGAGGCCCAGCCCTATGACCTTCTCCCCCACACACATACCACTCCCTGCTCTGAGGTCATCATGTAAGTCTGTGTCGTGCAGGCTGTGCCAGGCTCCGTCTGTTTGTGATTAGCCTGCTGCACTCTGGGCTTTTGAACCGGTTTGCCCATCACCTGTGGCATCCCTGACCTTGAACGCAGTCACCAGCGCTGTGAGAGCTGCTGCTTATTGCTCACAAGTACAGGTCGCATGTGCTGATTGTTGAATGAGCACTGGAAAACGCAAGCATGTGGGGGAAGGCAACTGGCCCGGCAGTGAAGGCACTGGCACGGTGCCTGCCTCTGGCTCATGACTGCAGCTCCCTGGGAGGCAAGCAGGTGCAAATTGTTGAGTCTGGTAGGAGACCCGAGTTGAGTGCCTAGCTCCTGGCTTCAGCCTATCCCAGGCTATCATGGCCAGTCGGAAAGTGAAGTAGCAGATAGGAGCACTGCTCGCTCTCTCACTACCCATCTTCTGAAATACAGATTTTACAAGAAAGGAAAATAGAGACAGGTGTTTCATCTGTTGGAATTTTGATCATACAGTTGATGTATAATTATGTACTATTATGGGAGCAAAATGATACAGTAATAAAAGGGAGAGGAATATTCAAATAGGAGATTAATTGGTTAATGTGACTGTTTAAAATTGCTCTGCTAGGATAATGTGTTATTAAAACATAGTGAATTTACTTTTTCCCCTATTTTTATAATCCTTTCTATGCTGGTGAATTTTGCTTTGGTCTAATAGCAATGTTTGACCCTTGACCAACTATACTTCAGAGCTTCAAAGTGATCAGGAGGAAATAAAATTAGAAGCTGATTTTGGGTACCAAGAAGACAATTGAAGTCCATGTCTAGCTTTTTCATAGCACATCTTGTCTGCAAAAGCTTGGACAACCTACTCGTGCTTCTCTGGGTCACCCAGGAGCAGGGGCTGTGCTCTCAGAACCTTTTTCACATGTTGTCTGTTGCCACCAAGTTACGGAACTACCTCTGTTCCCTCCAGGAGACACAGTGGCCTTATCCCTGAAGAAATTCCTGAAGCAAGACATGTATGACGTGTTCCTTTCTTTGTCTGACCATGGCGACAAGGAGCAGCTGACGGTGATCAGGGCCACTGTGTGCAACTGTCACGGCCACGTGGATACGTGCCCTGATCCCTGGAAGGGGGGATTCGTCCTCCCCATCCTGGGGGCTGCACTAGCTCTGCTGCGTGAGTGCTTGCTCCCTGCCCCTCTGAGGACTGCAGACTTCAGAGCCCACATTTACCTCCCAAGTTTTGGGGCTGGTGGATGGGGGTCACCCACATTGCCCACCCATTTCCTAAAATCTTTATCCCAAGAGCACCACTTTCAGTCAGTGGCTTTTTCCAGAGCTTCTAGAATATGCCAGGCCTTCAAAACCCAGGGCTGGGCAAGCAGGCATGGCCCTGCTGTGGGTCCCAGTGTCTTGAGTAGTGGTCCTGTGTGATCTCCATACCCATAGTGTCAGCCAAACCAGATATCTGTTAGGAAGCCAAATGCACAAGGCCTCCCACAGGCTCTGATACACAGGGACCCCATGTGGGCCTTGAGCTGCTCCCCAGGGGGTCGCTGGGACTGCAGAGCAGCCGTCCCACCACAGCAGCTGTGTCAGGAGGGGGCTTCTTCCTGTGGGTTAGGGGGTTAAACCAGGCAGCTGAGCAGAGAGGGGAGAGTGTGGTAGTGCAAGCTCCCACACCCTGTCTGCGTTTCCAGTCCTCCTCTTGGTGCTGCTGTTGCTGGTGAGAAAGAAGCGGAAGGTCAAGGAACCCCTCCTGCTTCCAGAGGATGACACACGTGACAACGTCTTCTACTACGGTGAAGAGGGTGGTGGCGAAGAGGACCAGGTAAGACATGGCGGAACAGCTGGGTCAGTGCACCGGCCATGTTAGCACCGGGACCCCACGTGTGCCTGTGCAGGATTCAAACCCAGCTGTCCTCTCCCAGGAGGGGAACCAGTCCACCACCACAGAGTCCTTTGGATAAGGTGTAAGCTCCCAGCTTCCAAGGCCTGCTGGTGACCCAGAACACCCAGAGGCCCCGCTGTGACAAGGGCTGGCACGGGATCTGCCCTCATCCCCCTGCTCTTGTTCCCTATTGTTCAGGACTACGACATCACCCAGCTGCACCGGGGCCTGGAGGCCAGGCCCGAAGTAGTCTTGCGCAATGACGTGGCCCCCACCTTCATGCCCACCCCCATGTACCGCCCTCGGCCAGCCAACCCAGATGAGATCGGCAACTTCATCGTGGAGGTGAGTGCCACTGGGCCTGCCCAGGCCAGTCCCTCAGTTAAGCCCGGTGCCATTGGTTCAAGGGGAGCAAACAGAAAGCAAGGCATCTTGGCCCTGGGTTCAAATCCCGGCTCCATGGCTCTGCCCATCCCCCAACCTGTGTGACTTCTGGCACAACTGTATGACCTCTGGACTACATTCTGCAACATGCCTAAGAATGGAGCAGGAAGAATATGTCTATTGATGCCAAGGTGGCAGTGGGTAGGGGAACACACTGGAGCTAGACAGCCATGGTCTGAACTTGGAAGATCCCAGGTGACCCCACCAACACAGGGAAGTTGACCTCCAGGAACAAATGCGTCCCACTGGCTTCTGGCTCTGCCTGTGCACCAGAGCCACCTGGGGACCTCGAGTAGCCAACCCTGCCTCTGACTGGCCCCTCGGGGTTAAGATTCTACTGCCCCAAGTGTCACTGTTTTCAAAGATGACCTTAGTGACTCGACTCATTGTGTGTGAGTTACTTGAAGAATTTTTTAAAATACCAGTTTGAGGGACCCATGAATCCAATTTCTTTTTTTTTTTTTTAGACTGCTATTTTTTAATGTATTTATGTGAAAAACAGAGTTAGAGAGATACCTTCTACTGGTTCACTTCCCAAATGCCTGCAATGTTCCAGTCTAGGCCAGGTCGAAGTTGGGAGACTGGAACTCCCTCTGGTCCTCTCACGCGGGTAGCAGAGGCCCAAATACTTGGACCATCTTCTGGTTTTTTATTTTGTTTTGTTTCTCTCAAGCTCAAGCACATTCACAGGGATCTGGGTTGGAAGCAGCACAGCTAAGACTTGAACCAATGATCATATGAGATGCCAGCCTCACAGGAGGTGACTTAACCTACTGAACCACCATGCAGATCCCCTAGTCTGTTTTTTTTTTTTTTTTACTGCATGAGGTAGCATTGTAACACAGTGAGTTTAGCCACCCTCCTGAGACGTTGCCATCCCAAATGGGTACTGATTTGAGTCCTGGCTGTTCCACTTCTGATCCAGCACCCTGCTAATGTATACCTGGAAGACATCAGAGGATGACTTAAGTCCTTGGACCCCTGCGCCCACATGGGATACTTGGAAGAAGCTCCTGACTCCTGGCTTCAGACCAGCCCAGCGCTGACCATTGCAGCCGTTTAGGGAGTGACCCAGTGCTCAAAAGATCTCTTTCTATCTTCATAGAAAACCCAGTGTACATATGGGTCACGGGGACCAGTCAGCAAGATCTGCAGGTCTTTATCATAGGCCCACACAGCCTGGTACCTGCTTAGCAATTAATGAGCAGAAACTCTGAAAAAGAAGTGCTTTTGAATCCAAAAGGGGTCAGCAAGTGCTGGCAGCAGTCATGGGCACAGGGCTGGGTCAGGATGCCCCAACTCGAGCCCTCTACCTTTAGCTTCCTGCCGACATGGAACCCATGTGGCATACTGTCCCTGCCTACAGTAGCCATTTCTCTAAAATGCACTTGAGCTTGAGGAAGTGCATCACGTTCGCCTGCTCTCAAAATCACAGGGAGGGGGACGTTTGCCCTTGTGGGGATGGGAAGACCCTGGGCAGTGACCCCTCCCCTCTCTCTGTCACTGCAGAACCTGAAGGCAGCCAACACGGACCCCACTGCGCCACCCTATGACTCCTTGCTCGTGTTTGACTACGAGGGCAGTGGTTCAGACGCCGCCTCCCTGAGCTCCCTCACCTCCTCAGCCTCAGACCAGGACCAGGACTACGACTACCTCAGCGAGTGGGGCAACCGCTTCAAGAAGCTGGCTGACATGTACGGCGGCGGCGAGGACGACTAGGCCTCTGGCCATCCTGCCCGGCTGGCCGGGAACTAAACATAGGCCCCAGCCACTTCCCCTTGGGGATCTGATGGGGCAGCTTGCTCCGGAGAATCCCTGAGGCTGCCATAGAGGGTTGAGATCTCAGCCTTCCGGAACGGGAGCTGGCGGCAGCCCAAGTTTGGGGATTGGCTTGGGGCCCCATCTCCTAAAGTTCATCAGCCACCACAGATTCATCCACATCGGGCCCTTGGAGTGGACCCCTTTCATTACAGAGGCCTCTTCTGTCCAAGTCTGTCTTCAGAGTTACAGGCAGGCCCTCTGCCATCCCAGAGTGACTCCAGAGGGCCTGGCCTCCCACCACTCCTTCCCTTCTCAAGCCTCCAGGCCTGGGACTGGCCACGTGGATGGATCACTGAGTTTTTATATTGTGTGTCTAGGTTGTCCTTTATTTTTTATTTCCCCTGCTGTGTGCTGTAGCGGAAGGGTAATGACAATCGTGTACATGTAACTAGGGACTTTTTTTTAATTAAAGGAACTTTTCCCAGAAGCCCCAGGGGGAGTGAACTTTCTCTAAAAACAGCGATTTTGTTGACATTGAACTCACATTCCCTACCGTTTCCACCCTCCCAGGGTATAGCTCCTTTCCAGCACTGTGAGAAGGGGCTGATCTTGGTTCAGCTGGTTTTATCCCAGGGATGGAGGGAGGGAGTGCAGGGTTAGATTTGTGCCCAGGCAGACTGTGTGGGACCCAGTGACCCCTCCCCTGGGACTGAGACCAGCCACAGCCCCAGGCCACCTCGCCTCCTCCTGCCTCCCTTTCGCTACACAGAAAGCAGAGAGCCTGTGGTGGTCAGTGAGCAAATGCCTGGTGTGTGGTGTGCGCACTTGTGGGGTGAGCACATCTGGGCCAGGTGGCCCTGACCTTCATGACCCCCTCTGGGGGAAGGGGCACAGCTTCTCAGAGAGCTTCCTCCTTTCGTGAGAAGCCTCAAGTATTTATTGGAAAGGCAGAGTGAGACAGCCAGGAGTCTCTTCCAGGTCTCCCACATGGGTGCCGGGCCTTGAGCCCTTGGGCCAACCTCCACTGCCTTCCCAGCACATTGGCAGGATGAGTAGCAGCTGGGACTAGAACCATGCCCACATGTCATGCTGGCAGTGTTGCAGGTGGCAATAGTGGCAGAGCATGGGCTCCTCAGTGTGTTTTGTAAAATGTCTCCTGGTCATCATGCAAATCAAGTAGAGCAGCATGAGGGAGAACCCCCTTGGGGTGCCAGTTCCAAGGAAATTCCAAGGAAGAATCAGGGACAGAGTGGTTCCTGCTGTGTCTTGTAGAAGTGAAGTTCCTGGTGTTAGGCCACGCTAAGTTGCAGAAGCTGAAGGAACTGCAGGAGCAGATGTTAATTTTAACTCTGTGGCTGTGGTGCTCAAAGCCATGGCAGCTCTGTCCCAGGACCCCGCAGGCCAGCAGGGGATTTTGGTGCCCATACCAGTTCCTCCCCATGCTTGGGGTGTCCAGGAGGTCCAGATCCCACACAAAGAAACCAAAATGAAATTGAGCATGTATGGGGGGTGGGGAGACCCTGAACTGCCTAGGTCCCCAGCACCTTTGCCAAGGCCACCCTATCTCTGTGTGAGCTACAGCTTCCAGTTCTCTGGGCAAGAGCTCAGCTGCTTCTGTGGGTACTGGTTTGGGAGGCCCGGTGTCACCTCCAGCAGCACCTGCAGCTCCTTTGAGGCTCCTTGAGGAACCTGCACAAAGCAGGAAGCTGCATCTCCAGCTACACTCAGGGGCAGAACCTTACTGCTGGTGCCCAGGTCCCCACCTCCCCTGAGCTCCCCAGAGGGAGTTAAGCAGGAAAAGCTGCCCACCCCGGCCCTGTTCCACCCAGGGCTTGGTGGATGCGGCTTCCCCTGGTGGTGGAACCAGCTACTGTCCTCTGATTCCAAAGCAGTTGGTTAAGCTGCACTCAACGGTGGGCCAAAGCCAGGAGCTGCTTCTGGGTTTCCCATGCGGGTCCCAAGGTTTCAGACCATCCTCCACCACTTTCACAGGCCACAAGCAGGGACCTGGATGGAAAGTGGAGCAGCTGGGATACGAACCGGGGCCCATATGGGATCCTGGAGCGTGTGGAAGGAAAGGATTTAGCCGCTGGGCCCAAGATTTTTTTTATTTTTTTATTTTTATTTTTTTTAAGATTTATTTTATTTTTATTAGAAAGGCGGATATACAGAGAGGAGAGACAGAGAGGAAGATCTTCCGTCTGATGATTCACTCCCCAAGTGAGCGCAACAGCCAATGCTATGCTGATCCGAAGCCAGGAGCCTCTTCCGGGTCTCCCACGCGGGTGCAGGGTCCCAAGGCTTTGGGCTGTCCTCGACTGCTTTCCCAGGCCACAGGCAGGGAGCTGGATGGGAAGCGGGGCTGCCGGGATTAGAACTGGCGCCCATATGGGATCCTGGGGCGTGCAAGGTGAGGACCTTAACCACTGCGCCACCGCGCCGGGCCCCAAGATTTTTTTTAAAGGAGTTACACAAAAACAAACAAATGAAGCAGTTGCACGCAGAAAGATCCTCCATCTGCTGGTTCACTCCCCAAATGGCCGCAGTGGCGGTAGCTGGGCTGATCTCAAGGTGGGAGCCAGTCAGGAGCTTCTGCCAGATTCCCCACATGGGACCCTCTCTGCCCTCCCAGGCACATAAGCAGAGAGCTGGACAGGAAATGGAGAGTCCAGGCCTCAAACCACGGGAAGCCAGCACCTCAGGTGGAGGATTATCTTGTTGTGTCTCTTGAAGGCCTGAAGCAGGAAGTCCGAACGTTCCCGCCGGAAGTGCGTGGAGCTCGGCCCGCCTTGCGGCTGCTGACTGACCAGAGAAAGCCAGTGTGGCCACCGTGCTAAGGAGAAACCCCCGAGTGTCTGATGGCGTCTCAGCCACGTCCGTGGTTCAGCAGTGTCTGACCGGGTGAGTCCCCCTTCCCTAAGCGGGCTGCCGGCCACAGACAGTGGGTCGGACTCCGGCCCTCAGTGGGGTGTGCTGCAGAACGGACCTGCCCGCCTGCCCAGGCCGAGCACTTCAAAACCTGCCCCCTGAACCCTGTCCTTCCTGGCCAGAGAAAGATGGAGGCTCCGAGGACGGCACCCTGGCCTTGTCATGGCCCTGCCACCTGCCCTCCCTCCCAAAGGACCCATCTCCTCAGGTTTGCTTTGCCCAGGACCCTGAGAGGTCCCACGTGCTTCTCCCATCCCTGCAAACTCCCAACCCCTGGCCCAGGTTGGGTTTTCTGGACCCCAAAGGGACCCGGGAGAAGGTGCAGCCGGGAACCCCTAAGGGGTGACCAGCCGCACCACCACGGAGCTCCTTCGGCAGCCCAGCCCTGGGTGTCCAGTTTGGCCTGCTGCGGACCTCGGGAGGGTGCCTGACATGTATTGTTGTTGCTGCTAATTCTGCTGCGGTGGCTGAGGGACGCGTGCGGCTCCTTTGTCTTTCCACACGCAGTCACTGCCGGGCCCCGCACCGCCTCAGCGTTCCCTGTCGTCCGTGGGTCTCGGCAGCTGTAGTTTCCCCGTGTGACCAGCAGAGGGCACCATTCACTCACCCAGCCTGGCCAGGGTGTGGCCTGCCAGCAGGCTGCTGGTTCCAAGCAGTCACCCTGGCCACCCAGCCCAGAGGCTCTGGACTCTGGTGAAGGTGATGTAGAGGCGGTGAAGGATAGAATTTTCTGGGCTGTGAATGGCGCTGTCCTCATGCCCGCAGTGTGTTGGGTGCATCCTCCTGGGCAGTGAGGGTGCTTGCATAGTTCCTTTTCGATAAGAAAACAGATCTCAGGGCTCCTGGCAGAGGCAGTATTGGAGTGTGGGTCTCTGATCCCCAGGTGTGGACCCTTTTAAAAATTTTTATTTATTGGGCCCTGTGTGGTAGCCTAATGGCTCAATGTCCTCACCTTGCATGCATTGGGATACCATGTAGGCATTGGTTCTAATCCCGGCTGTTCCACTTTCCTTCCTTCCTGCTTGTGGCCTGGGAAAGCAGTAGAGGACAGCCCAGGGCTTTGGGACCCTGCACCTGCTTGGAATACCTGGAGGAGACTCTTGGCTCGTGGCTTTGGATTGGCTCAGCTCCGTTTGTTACAATCACTTGAGGAGCGAACCAGATAGAAAATTTTTCTGTCTCTCCTCTCTGTAAATCTGAATTTCAAATTAAAAAAAAAAAATCTTAAGGAAAAATTATTTATTTATTTATTTTTAAAAATGTATTTGGCCGAGAAGCCAGCAAGGGGCAGCGGCAGGTGTATTAGAGTGACAGGATCCAAGCGGGCGGGGCTGCAGCCCACCCAGGGCAGTGTGGGGTCCTGGCCCTCCTTCTCTTCCAAGCCCCAGCTCTGCTTTCTGGTGGAAGCTGAGTTCCACACCCAGCCCACTCCCAGCAGGCCTAGGAAAGGCCTGACTCAGCTCCACAGCAAAGCTGGCGAAACCTGATCCCTCGCCATGCCCCAGCCTCCGAGGAGGTGGCCGGCCTGTCTGAGCCTGCAGGCTGCCCGCAGAGCCAGCACAGCGCAGGGGCCCGGGACCTGCCTGTGGAGGAGCCTGTCCGAAGGACTCCCTTTCTCCCCTCCCCCAGTCCGGTGTGACAAAGGCAAGGTTGGGGATGGGGGAGCACCCCACGCTGACCTCTGGCGGGGGGCGTGGCTGGCACTGTGAGTCCAGCTGTCCAGTGCCTGCCTGGATGGTAGCAACTGCAATGGTTGTTGTTGTCCTTGGGATGGAACCGCCTGCTGTGCCCACTGCCCAGCCCACTGCAGGCACACAGAGGTGTGGGAGGAGGGGAGAAATCTGAGACGCTGTGGGTGGACTGAGAATGCTGGGGCTCTGATCCAACCCTTCTCGTGCCAATGGTGGTGTGCGGGGCGGCTTGCAGTCCAGGCCCCATGTGTCCTCAGGCTGCAGCTGCTTCACCAGCTGGGAGGACTTCGTGGAGGTGAGGTGGAAGGTGTGCAGAGAGCTAAAGGACTACAGGACGTGCATTTCTTTTTTTTTTCTTAATTTTTTAAGATTTTTTTAAAG